CCCCAGGGCTGGGCAGTGCCTGGTTTTGCCTCCCAGCTTCCGTCTGTGCAGCCTGAGCAGGAGCCACCCCAATCCAAACCATTGCATTTTCCTCTGCCCGGCACGGAGAGCACCGTGCATGGGGCTGGCGCGAATCCCGGGCTCTGTCTCCTTCAGGTTGACGAAACCGGCGTCGAGGTGAAAGACATTGAGCTGGTGATGTCGCAGGCGAACGTGTCCCGAGCGAAGGCAGTCCGTGCCCTGAAGAACAACAGTAACGATATTGTAAATGCTATAATGGTGAGTGCTGGCCTGGCGCCCGCGGAGCGGGGAGGGGGGTGCGTGGGACGTCCCTGGGGGTGGATGTGCAGAGCATAGTTCCCTGCTACTGCGTGAGCTCGGGGCCGTGAGCGGAGGGGACGTTCCTCCCGCCCGCAGCCGTGGCACCGACCCCTCTGTGGGGCTCCTTGCCACCAGCGAGCCTGGCTCCTAACGAGCCTTTCTTCTCTCTGCAGGAGTTGACGATGTAGCTGCCAGGGGGAGGAGCCTTTTTTGGTGTTTCAGAGAAAAGTAAAATGCAACTAAATTTAAAATTTGTACTATTTCTATCCATTAATAAAAGTTGTGGCTTATTGTTGGTGAAACACTTTGTGCTCTCTGCTGGCTTTGCTGCCCTCCCCTCCCCGGTAGCCGAGGCCCCAGGGTGGAGCCTTCCTCCCGGGAAGATCTCGGCCCCGATAGCCTGTCCCGGAAGAACACCTGCCCGTTCCCTCATTTCCTTCCTGTCCGAAGGTTGGCTGGCCGTGAGCCCCGGCGCCAGCGCCGTGCCGGGACGCTGGGCTCAGCCTGGGCTGTCTCCCTCCATGGGTGGCGGGAGGCGAGGAGGAGTCTGCTGCTGGGTGTCGTCTCCTTCATCCCCCCCAGGGGGGCTTCTCCCTCGCTTCCCTGCAGCCGTGGGACAGGGGTGGATCGGGACATCGTGCTCCGTCCAGCCTGATCCGCAGGGACCCGTCTGGGTTCAGTCCTGCCTTTTCACCCTGATGCTTTGCTGGATCTGTGCGGCGCAGCAGGGCTGAGCGGCAGCAGGGGTTCCCTGCTCGCAGGGGAGCAAGCCGCGATCCGCCCTCCTGCGGCCCCGCGTCTCACAAAACGCAGAGGCCGGAGCTGGGAAAATGGGCACTGCGCT